GGTCATTTTGCTACCGTGATAAATCATCATGTAAATATCTGATATGCAGGATGCATTTTCATGGTTACAAATTGAACATCATTAAAACATAGCGATTCATCACAAAAACATTATGTTATTATAGATTGTGAACTATTCACTTCTAATGACAAATCAATGAAATTTTGTCTTGAAGCATGGTGTAGCAAGGGTAACACCCACCTGGAGACGGATAGAGGAGTGGTGTCTTAGTTCCTAAGACCATTGGAAATATGTGTTTTCCGATGGTCTTAGGTGACCCCTAGGAAAGGGTGGTTCAATCCCCAAAGGGGTCACGACCCACAGGTTGAGAACCCCTGGTCTAGAACATACATAGTTACCTCCCACAGGGTCCAGGAGGTGCTGGCTCTTCACATGCTCAGCTGCTAACTGAAAGGTTGGGGACTCAAGAGCTCCCAGAAGTACTGTGGAAGAAAGGCCCGGCGACCTGCTTCGGCAAAATTGGCTTCTGCAAACCCTATGGAGCACAGTCCTATTCTGCCATGCCTGGCCGCCAGGACTGGGACTGATTCCAAGGCAACCGGTGGCCCCACGGGTAACAAGGACGGACGGACACTGTCTTTCCACACTGGCGGACTTCTGCAGACAGATCTCAGCAACCCTCCCTAGAACAGGGCCCGGGGTCCTGTGGACCCTTGATCATAGCCCTTTAAAGACATGCTCGGAAGAATGGCTCCCAGGCAGACGCCGGGCTCCCATCCTGAGCTGCGGCTCCTTACCTGCAGACAGGAGCGCATCGGTGAGCAGGAGGTGCCAGGCTGGCTGCCGGGGGTTGAGTTTGACCAGGGCCTCTCCGGTGGCAACGAGGCCCCGTATGTCCTCGTCGTTGAGGGGCGTCCCGGTGTCCAGCGGCTGGCTGAGGAGAGCCCGGCAGCGGGCGTAAAGGCCCTGAGTGATGAGGGCCTGGGCTTCTGGCTTCAACGAGCGGATTTCAGGGACCACAGTGCCTGGGTTTAACTTCAGGGCAGAGGTGATGTCATCCACAGCCTCCTGTAAGGAGAAGGGGGCAAGAGAGGCGGGAGAAGTCTTCCCCTGGGGGTACCTGTGGGGAGGGAGCAAAGCTGGGAGGACAGGCGCCATCATTTTGGCTTTTAGGGTCAGAACTTAGCAAGATCTGTGCGCTCACTCTGACGGTTCTCCTTGGGACCTCTGTAGGGCCACATTGCCCACCCCCCACCCCCCACTGCCCTTGTCCTCCCAGACTCCATGCCTACAGTCACACTAGCCTGTGCGCTACTTCTGGTCTGGACATGGGTGGGGACCCAAGTCATCCACTGTGTGGACCGTTACAAACTATGGACGGCCCAAGAAGGATGGGAATTCCAGAACACTCCATTGTGCTCACACGGAACCTGCTCATGGATCAAGAGGCAGTTGTGTGCACAGAACAAGGGAATGTTGCACGGTTTAAAATCGGGAGCAGTGTGCATTAGGGTTGGACCCATACTTATTCAATCTGTGGGCTGAGCCAATCATCCGAGAAGCTGGGTGAGACAAGACGAGTGTGAACCAAACACGGGCACAGGCGTGAACAGATAATTGACTAAAAAGGACACCCAGGCAGCCGACAACTCGATGGAAAACTGTTTGCATTCATCAGCGAGAAGAGTAAAACAGCGAAACACCACCTCACACTGGCGCTCACAGCAAAACAGAACAAACCGGAGCAGCCTGGGGAATGATCAGCCCTGGAGAGGCTGTGGAGAGACGGCAATGGCCGCCCATCCGCTGCTGGGTAGGATCGTAGGCTCATCTAGCCACGATGGAAATCGCGATGGCGGTGCCTTTGACAAATGCAAAGTCAAAAAACCCCTTGCGATTTTGCAACCTCTCTCCTGGGCGATAAGTACCCTAAAGAAAGAAAGATCACCCACGAACAGGCACAAGCACACCGATGTTCATGGCGGCGATTCCCATAGCAGCAAAACGATGGAAACAACCCCAAACCCCGACTCCAGAGGGACGGATAAACACACCCCGTGCAGGCACACAGCGGGGGATCAGGCACCCTTGAAAACAATGCCGAGTCTGTCAAACACCTGAAGACACGGACACAATTAGAGACGACGG